TGTGTGTGTGTGTGTGTGTGTGCGTGTGTATGTGAGCCTGCATGTGTGTGTTTGTGTATGTGTCATCCGCATATCTGAGATTATTAATATTTTCTCCATTTACTTTGAGAACTGGACATTCTTTTGTGTTTCTAAGGATTGTTTCACTTACATGATAAAAAGGTCTGGTGACATAACACATCTTGCCTCACTCATCTTCTATTCTGCTTATATTCACTGTATTCTCCATTAATTCGTACAGCAGTGTTTTGGTCCCAGTACAAATTCTCGGTAATTCATAGATCTTTTCCATTTATATCTAGCTTTTCCAGTATTTTAAATGGCTCATCATGTCTAACTTTATCGAACGCCTTTGTATATATAAGAAGGTTTTTTTTTTTTTTCAGTGTGGAGATGTCGTCACGTTCTTTCAGACTGTCTAGAGTTTTGATAGCTCCTACTTAACTACTAAAAAGTCGATAACCCAGAATGAGGAGATTTAAGTGGCTCTAAAAAACAATTACACAATTAACATAAAACAACTATGTCTAATTATTTCTTCTATAATGATGGTAGTATATTTGGTTTATTGTCGACAAAAAAGTAGTACGCATTTGGGGTGAAAAAGAAAAACATATAAGGGTATAAAAGGCTCAAATATACAAATTTTAAAAATAAAAACAACATTAACATGTAAGTGCACGAGATGGTACAACGGTACCTGAAGAAGAGTGGCATAATTTAAATTAGCCACCTTCATCCCACATGGGAACACGTCATCTTGGAAAAGTTCCACTTGAAATAATTATACTTTGCTCGTAATTCGATTATTAGGTCTTACTGTTGACGTTCTTTCTTGCTCAAATTTCGTCTCACCTATTTTTGACAAATTAGAGAGATCTATCATAAACACAATAGAATGCGTAGCCTAAAATAATATTATTTCTTTTATTATGATGTTCAAAGCTAAGGCGTTAAGCAACTGTTTTCTTGACTAGGTCTAAATAGTAGATTTTTTTTTTTTACTGCAAAGCGTACTCCTGTTTTTCTTTTCTTGTTGTTATTTTAATGTTGTTTTAGTACTCTTACTTTACGATATTATCATTGTTGCAATTACCACTGACTCTAGATCTAATAGGAGGCCTCGTGGCCTAGATGTTAAGGCGTTCACCTCTCATTCAATAGGTCGCGGGTTCGAATCCGGATAGCGAAGGAACATTTTTTTCTCTAAAAAAAGTTCTCCTTTTACATTATTTCTTGCTCTCTAACAATGTTCTTTCGTCTCCATGACTATCTGCCCCCCCCCCCCCACCCCCTCGGATCAAGTCCTTTGTCCCCTCCTCTGGGCTCCTCACTCTTTCTGTCCTAACTTAACTTTTACTTTTATCCGCCGCTTATACCCTTTGGGTGTCTCCGGAAGAAAGAGACGTCTCTCTGCCACCAGCCGGAGAGCAGAGGTCATGGGGATGCCGTGAGTTCTTAATTAGTGTTTCCGTGACTCCATCTATCTAGGTCTTTCTCGGTCGCCCTCTACCCTTGTTGACATTGATTTCTTTTTTAATTTTGGCAAAATTTACTACCAATTGGCCGTAAAATGCCTGAAAATTTTAAAACAAAAATTATCACTCTGGTAGTGCGGTTATCGTTTTGTTTTGTTTCGTCTGACTCTCTCGTGATGTTTAAAGTTTTGTAAACTAACCCGTCAGGGGATATAACTATTACTTCCGCCATCGGGGGTTGTCGTTGTTTACGAGACAAGAAACTTGAAATCGAATGTTATTGTTTTCAACAGCCAGTGTTTCTGACATTTCGTGTGTTGAAACTGAGAACAGAGACTCATGGATACCAAAATGTCTTCATCCCGCATTGAAGCTGGGAAAGCAGGGACCACATTCGTTCATTTTATGTGTCAGCGTTGCAATTTGCCCCTGAAACTTGACTCCAGCTTCAGCGAATTGTCGAGAGACTTGTTCAAGGAACTCACAGGCAAGTCGAGAAAGAGCTTGTTGATGTGAACTTGAAGTTGACGCCAGAATCTAGAATCTTGCTCGAATCAAGTTTTACACACTAATAAATTTATGTCGTTGATACACCTTTTGACCTGTTTTAATGTAAAGGAGATATAGATCTAGATCTATATAGATCTAGAATCTTGATTTAAAAAATAGTCTTACTCTTACTAGATAGATCTAGATATTAGATTCTACTTACTTGAATTTGAAGTCTCTTGGACTTGGAACCGCCCCATCATGGGCCCATAACTGATACAATAGTAGGTCTAATAGCCTACATGAATGACTTCATTATAATAACCATGCTTTGACTTTAAAAAATCGCCCTTTCCCTTGATTTTTATTGAATCTTTAATTTGCTTTTTTGTAGTCTGGATCAGAATAATAAATCGAAGTGGCTTTTAAGTACGGCTAGCCTGAGAGTCTAGTCGTACTTAGATCTCTAGGTTTGGCCCTATTCTCTCAAACCTGTTGGTACACAGGTCTTATTAGATCTAGATCTAGATCTAGTAATTATTCAGGTTTAGAATATATATGCAAGTCAGTAAGGCAGGTTTTAGTTTTGTCTGAAATACAACCTGAGGCATTGCCAAAACTAAAAATTTCATTTATAATTCAGCCATCATTAGTAACTTGTACGGCTAGCCTGACAGTCTAGCCGTCCTTAAGTACGGCTAGCCTAGCCGTCTAGCCGTACTTAATAGCCAAGCAGTGAGTATGGCTAGCCTGCCAGTCTAGCCATACTTCTTAGAGCCTATAATTATTTTATTTAAAAAGTAAGTCTCTAGAGAGGTGGCATGACACACCTTTGACTGGTGCCAAAAGATTTAATTTCTTAACCCTTTTTGTACTGGATTCATTAATGCATTATTTTACCAAACTTTCAATTTCTTCATTTTTTCCATTATAATAAATATATATAAATTAAATATCAGATGTAGAGTTACTTATAGTTGCTAATGTCGATCTATTTCAGTTTCACCATGTCTTAGTCTTACTGGTTTCTATTCACAAGTACTGGTATTAATCCACGGCTAAACTTTCATGATGACTTTTCAACTGACTGAATTCTTAGTAGAGATCAGAACTGAGTGGGGGGAACTTCCATGCCCCTCTGCCTGAGCTCCTGAGCAATACATTACCAACATTTGTATGATAGTCAGAATCACATTCCATTTCCCACTCAGGGTAGTCCTTGTCATCTAATTCAGAAAGATTTTCAAATAATCCTTAACGTCTTTTGTGTAGTAAATGCTGTTTTTAGTACCCTTTTTGTCTCAGACGGGTGGGTAGGGGATGGGGTCTCGCTCACCACTGTACTGGTGGCTAGGCATACGGGTAGTTTTAAGCGTCACTGGTGCTCCGGTAGCAAGGGCTCAAAGAGCTAACCTCATATCTGCCAACCTGAAAGACCTTATAATTTTATAATAATAATGAAAGCAAAGGAAGGCCTACCTGGCACAAAGTATGAAAGAGAGAGGTAAAAGCTGAATCATGTTTTCTGTCTAATTCATAAATTACTTCTGATCTAAAAAGAAAATATTTTGAAGCTAAGACAGGAAACATTTGACAACTCAATCAATTTCACTACTTTTTACTTTGTTATTTCAGAGCCTCTTAGTGCTGTGTCCGACATGGAAGAGAGCATCCAAGTCATTCGAAAAGAAGTGCGTGTTGACTGCAAAAAAAATTTGATCACACCTCAGATTAAGATTTCACTGTTTGTTTACTGAGCTCTCCTGCTTAATACATTTGTTTGTTTTTTTAATCATGCTGGCTTTGAATAGACATGATAAGTCTTACAGAATTTGAGTATTTTCAAAATTATAATTTTTTTTTCTCTGTTTACTCATGAAACCAGTTGTATCAGCTTCCCTGATTTCTTGCAGATTCAGTTACATTGACTTTATAATTGTGAACCATGCGAGCAATCAAGCTGCAATCTATGTATGAAGCATCCCATAGTTCTTTCAGCAATAATAACAATACTATATTATAATTATGCATAAAGTTCTGGGTACATGTTAAAAAGAATTTTGTCAAATTATCTTCATTTTTAGAACAATAAAATTTGTCCAGTAGTGATTATTTGAGAGCGTCAGAATATAGGTTTTCAGTTTGATGTTTAAATCTCCTCCTTTAGGTGATTAAATGCAAGACTTTAAAAAAGCACAACAGTTATCTGTGTAGGGTAAGGATATGTGACCATTCATTGTTAGATGATATGTGTTGATAGATTATTAATCATTTTATTTCTTTTTCCTAGGAAATCAATTTCGAAGAGGATGAAGAGTTTAGCCGTACTATCATGCCAAGTGGCGGGTAAGTGAATTGTAAACATGAATTAATTTTTATATTGAGATCATGTTGATAATGTAGTCAAATCATTTTGATTTTTCACTAATTGCAGTGGTATTTCTTTTGTGGTGTTTGTTTTACCATTAAATTATATATCATGTTCTATTTACACAATCAACTCACATACACAGACACACACACAGACATGCACATACACGGGTGATGTCAAAGATTTAAGATTGTTTTTCATTTTTCCTTTGAAATTTGATTTGTTAATGAAAGTGTTGATTTTAAAATATTGTTGTAATAAGAACAATGTGTGTAATAATAATAATACAACTTCTTTAATTGTATCAATGATGGTGATAAACTGTCTTACATCAGGTTTGAAGAATCTAGTGACTTCACACTGGTCGGTGACCTTGGTACTGGCAGCATGGATGCCTTAAGTATACGAGCACGTGTAAGTACCTGCATGGATTTATGGAATCCAGATATTTTTCTTTAAGCCATCAAATTTCAATGAGTTTTGTGAAGTTCAGCTGTGAGTATCACTCTTAACTAATCAAATGTTATATGACATTAACCGCCATGTCAGTGCTGCATGAATATGTTTTACATTCAAGCTGTACATAACCCTATACTGACTGTTTGTTTCTCCCCTTGGCATGAAGATGTAAGCCTGTATCGACTATCTATAGCCACAATACAAAAAGGATATGTAAATGTGTTGATTACACAATTGGTCCTAAAGGAAAAATGTAATTCTTTGAGGGTAGACTTCCACATGACGGCTCTTACAATTTGAATTTTTTTTTTTTCTGTAAAAGAAGCCAAAAAGAAAATTTTAGAAAGAAAAGCTTGGGCAGGGTGAGAGAAAATCAAAAGTTCATGATAACAATTTTTAAAAAATTTGGTTTCTCACAGATATTTGGTATTGATAAAAAAAAATGTAAGAGCCGCGAGTGGTTCATGTTTTTTTAAAAATTAATTGTTTTTTCTTTTTTTGTTTTTAGGTGACTGGGCAGCTTTTTGACCTCATGTCTGGCTACTCAGAGATAGACCATCCCCTGTGTCAAGTGAGTACCGTTGCCAACAGCTGCTTTTTAATCCTGATTTTGAATTAAAGGACTTTTTTTTGCTTGTTTCACATTTGCTGTTTACAGCTTTGGCCACAATGTGATGTGGTCTACAGAGCTATTGCCGGTAAGGTAATGAAAGATTCTCTCTACTACGGGTTCATCCTTACCTGTATTTGGAAAGCAGACTTTGAGTAATTTTTCAAATTGAATCTAAAGAACCAATAACTGACCAAGGTGTCACAATGACCATTCCCAAAGTTCCTAATTGATGCCATGAATGAGATATGAGCTAAAGGTTGTTTAAATCTTCTGATCAAGCTATCAAGTTATCACATATTTTCCCTTGTCAGTACTGACTTATTTCAAAATACATGCTCTCAATTTCCCTTTGCTTTTGTTTTACCTTTTTACTGAATTGGTACATTCTTGACATTGTTTGTTGTGTCCACTGTGTAGGAGTGTACTGACCATCTACTGGACAATCTTGACTACCAGTTGAATATTGTTGAGGATGAGAACAAGGAATACAGGTATTTGTTTTTTGTCTTGTTCGTAAAGGTTGTAGAAGGGCACTTTTAACTCACTCCATGTCCAATTTTCTGCCCTCTTGGACGTAATTTCTTCCACTGGCATGCGCCCGTTTAGTTACATACCTGTAGTTTTTACCACTTATCCAAATGTTCTTGTGGGTGTTAGGAGATGGGCTTGTAGATGTTGAAGTATAATTTCCATCCTGCTGGTTTTGTCTTTATGGTTTATTTAAGCTAGCTGTGTGCAAATTATTTTCCTTTTTTACTATTAATACCTTGTTTCAGTCTGTGTGGAATAGTGTCAGGCAAGAGAATATGTTTACCATTTCAACTTGTGGAGATTGAAAAAAACCTCTAAATTTTGTTTTTGAGCCATTTCTTTCCTGATTTTCTGACCTGTGCTCTATTGTTCCTGTTACCTTTCACCTGTCAGCACCTCAGGCATTACACAGCCTTTATCATTGTCACCGCAATACTCTGTTGAGAGGGAGTGTATTTACACCAACACTGACACTTGCGCACACTCAGACTGATGCACACTAAGATAGGTTTTTTTTCTGTTTCTTATTTTTGTTAAGGTGACTGAAACAATCTTTGATTTGGGAAAGTCTTTGGAACAGTAACCACTCTCATAAATTGGTCCGCTGTATTCATGGTCAAATATTGTTTCCATACCAAACAAAGTTAGTGAACAAAGTTTGAGTTGATTTATTTTTCTGTCTGCGTTCATTTGGTGAATCCTGTTTTGTCTTGTTATACCAGTCTGTCATTCTGTTTTCATCACTCTTGTATGTGACCTTTAGTATGTTGACCTTGTGTAATGCTACCTTCAAACAATAATCTGTGTTTATCTTTTTAATGATTGGGACGGCCTCTAATGCTTCTTTGAACTAACACAAAAGAGTGTTATTCCTCTGTATTAGTTGGCAGTTGAAGGGTGCTCTGGCTTTCTCCTTTCCTTTCAAACATCTGTCGTTTTTATCTTTCCTCTTTTTTGTGTTCGTTTCTTGCTTGTAACACTTCTAATCTCTGGCACTTATAAGACCTAATTGTGTTGCAAGTGCCATAAAATGCATACTAAAACTAAAATCTCTCTATTAAACTTGTTTTCTTTGTTCAGGGAGTTTTTGGACAAGCTGGGTGTCTCGGAGGACGTTATCAATGAGGAAGAACTGGATGAAGAGCTCCTTCAGGTAAAAATATCATAGTATCATTATCATTCTAATAATAGGTAGCATTTGCTTTGCGCAAATTCCCGCTCAACAGCTTGCTCTATGCACTTTACAATCTACTTTATTACCTCAGCGGACCCGATAGCCTTCTGAAACCCATGATAACCTTCTCAAAGACTCTATCTTCTGGGAAGCTTTCAGTACAAGCTGTCATTTTCCAGGTGCTAAAACGCTAACATACTGACAAGATCTTTTACTGTCTATGGCCTGGTACTCATTTGCTGTCCATGGCCTGGTAGTCATTCACTATGGCCGGGTACTCATTTGCTGTCTGTGGTCGGGGATACCCATTCGTTGTCTATGGCTGGGTACCTATTCGCTGTCTATGGCCAGGTACCCATTCCCCTAAACTGCTATAATTGGAATAGTCTAAGATGGTCACCCATTTTCGAGGAGAAAAGTCGTCGTCTTAGACAGCATGATGTCTTGGACAGCCATTTAAGTATTTTTTAAAATGCAAAGAAATGGTCATTTGTACAGGAGCTTGTCTTGGGTGGGTGACTGTTGGAGCAGGTTCAACTGTATTTGCTGCCTTAGCGTTGTAAACATCGGAAACCTCTCCTGTGTGCACCTTATCCATTCATCTAAGCTCTTGATTGGTGTAGTCCTCCTGGTGGTGAATAAATGCTCTATCTGGACACACCTTAAGTCATGAACCACATGTGTAGAGCACAGGAGACTGAGGGACTGTACTGTTAAAAAACAGAATTTTGTGGCCGCTCTTTAACTGTCCTGCCCAAAATGTTGTCATAAGGTCATTTGTTTGTGGTTACAAGACCCATAACTAGAGTCTATGAAATCGGGAAAGCTTACTCACTCTGGTTCTTGGAAGATGTCTGGAAAAAAATTATACAGTTGAGAAAACAATGTTTCCACCCTGAGGTTTACCCCCCCCCCCCAAAAAAAAAAAGAAATTAAATGAATTAAAAGAAAGAAAGAAATTTAAAAAACAACCAATTATTTTGTTTTCAGGATGTCAGCCTTAAGCCTTTTGAGGGCAGTCATTCCTCTCCTTGGTTGAGTCTTCGGGGTTGTAGACCGTGTAACGCCCCATTTCTCTTACAGTTACTGATGGCTTTTGATATTTAAAGGGTCCAACAGGCTGTGATGTTGAAACAAAAGGCAACTCTTTGCAGTGTTTTTGCCGTCATTTTTTAGTTCAATTGTTGAACTAAGTTAAAAAAGAAAGATATTTTTGTTAAATAAGTAAACATTTTCCATCTGATATTTTGGTCTCGTCGTTGTAGCTGCGTGAGGAGGAAAAAATCTTACAACAGCAGCTACTGGAAGCAGAGAAGGAGAGGGCAAAGGTCGCAGAGGCTATGGAGAAGGAGAAGGAAAAGGCCAAGCAGTTGGATTTAGAAGAAGAAAAGTGAGTCTTGTGGAGTGGGGGTTCATCATTAGACTCAGCTTTGAGGAACTTTTGCTATGCGACAGTCATGTTTCCTTTGCCTGTAGTTCTCTACTTACTTTAACAATACTTTGTCCATCATTATCTGACGGTGACCGACACATCTGTAGAGAAGACGTTTTTCTTAATGAGAAAGAAGAAATAGGGATTAAGATGACTTATGGCTTCTGCTATGACCGATGAAACCTATTCTGGCATAAAGAAATGGGTTTTGGTTGCTGTTTTTGTTTTGTTTCGTCAGCTTGTTTTTGTCATGTGTGTATTTAGTTATTTCATCGTTTAGATCTTACTCTTTTCATTTTGTCCCATTTTTTTTTAGGGAGGGGATAGGATGTGGGGGTGCATGTGGTTGGAAATTAAAGTAGCTTTTAGTCGGCAATGTACCAAGTTAGTGACCAAAAACCATTTTAGAAGTTATAAATTAGACATGAGTCTTTGAATTAATCTCATAACGGTATATTTGCCAAGCAGAGTACTTTTCAACTGTTATTTTTATTTCAGGTACTGGAAGGAATTCAATGACCAGAGCAGACTTGCTCTTGACCTAGAGGATGAGCAGCGAAGGTGATTTATCCTTATTGTTGTTTTAATTAATTATTTATCTGTTGCTCGATGTAACATTTTTTGCATTTTGAGATTTATTGTCTTTGTACGCAAGTTTTGCTTCCACCACTACTCTTCATTTTCCCCTGTTTGTTTTGTTTCTAGATGTCAGCTCTTGTCAACTTGGGCTCTGTCAGTATAGTATGACCTGGTCCTTCACATTTTAGAATACTTCTAGTACGAAGATCTCTTTGAAATTCAGTATTTCTCAAAAAATCATTTTGACAGACTGCTATGCAAAGCGCACGGATCGGATTAACGAGTAAATTTCCTCTTTGGAGAGTGGTGGCTCAGAGTTCCCCATGTGGTATGGATACGATAGTAGAACACGACGTAAGGATAGGATTAAAGAAAGGGGAGGAGGCTTTATATTTAATGAGTAAGATAATTGAATCTTGCTTGTTCTCTTTTTTTTTTCAGTGTGGACAACCAGCTGAAGTATGCTCAAGCTCAGTTGGACAGACTCAAGAAGACAAATGTGTTCAACGCAACATTCCACATCTGGTTAGTGCCTCTAAGTAACCGGTGACTTGCTTTGAGTTCTGTATTGTGAAGTACAAAGTTGAAGTTGGATTTTTGCTCCGTTCATTATTTCGAATTTGGTTGGGTTTATTTTATGTGTGCATCAGCCATGAGTTTGATACATGATTTGTCAGCTAAATTGTACATGATTTGGAAACATTCAGTTTTGTCAATACTTGACATTTACACGATGTTACTGTATTTTGTTTCTTTTTTTTATATAGACTATACAAATGAGCTAGTGTTGTGTGCTGAAGTAAAAGTGGCATATTTGTCTATTTTCTTTTCGGCAGGCATGATGGAGAGTTTGGCACTATAAATGACTTCCGATTAGGAAGACTTCCTGGCACAAATGTAAGTTGCAGTGTCATGTTGCATGCTGCTGCCTTTTCTCCCTTCTTGTTGCATGCTGTGACAACAGGCCTGATCAGGCAAAATGAAGCCTGATTTTAATTTTGATGTAAAATGAAGCTATGCGGTGTGTGCATATAAATTTTATCAAATACATTATGTTCAGAATAACTTGCAATCTGCAATTTGCAACTTCTGGAACTAGCTAACTAGCAATGGACCCGCCTGTACCACTGTTTTCCATGGGTAAGATAAATGAAGAGTCTACGGCTATATATTGGATTTCTTTTTTTTTTTTCTTTTTATGATTGTTAACAAACATGATTTACTTGAACCTGATTCAGGTATGTTTTGGGGATTCCTGTTTACTTTTATCCTTGCATTGCTAAACCGATGCTGAACAGTAGACGCTTCTTTTATTTTTTTTAAAATGGAACATGAAACCGATGGCTTGATTCTGGTTTATTTGAGGATATTTATGACTTGTGATATGGTTGCTAGTGTTATATAATGCCTGTTATGTTTGTTTTCCTCAGGTGGAGTGGTCAGAAATCAATGCAGCATGGGGTCAAGTGGTTCTCCTTCTGGTTTCGCTGGCCAACAAAATTGGTCTCAACTTTACAAAGTGAGCAAATTTGTTGACAAGTTGAAAGAACCGAGACTTAAACCTCACTAATGTTGAGTCCATGTGGAAAGATAATATATAGTGTGTAATGATTGGGAATAGATAGACAAGTGGAAAAGGGTGGGGGGTGTTGCTTTGTAAAGTCACCCCCTTTTATTTGTGTTTATTTATTTTTCTTCAATTATGTTCATTTTGATAGTAATTATTAATTGGATGTTGCCCCCTAGCTAAAAATTTACCTCTCTTAAGCGAGATTTTTCAAAGATAATGGGAATGAATTGTTAGTGCAACATCAAAGCAACACAGAGAACTTGCGTTTTCTTATTGTAGCTGATCAGTTATCTTTCATGAATGTGCTTTTTCATATTTGTTCAGAATAGTTCAGTGGAATGACTGGACATGAACATTTTCTATTTAATATTTGTAATGTGGGTGTACTTTTTAGTCATGATGATAAATGTTTTCAGTTTCTCTAAGTAAAATGTCAGATCAAAATTGCAGTTACAATCTTATTAAAGAACCTTTTGCAAGGTTAAAATTTTTCAACTCTATGGATTTCTGTGATGTATAGGGTACTAGTCAGCTTACTGAACTTTGTCATATTCTGTGTAAAAGGCGTTAACAAATTCAAGTTTTTCCTCAAAATAGGATTTATTCATTTTAATGAAGAAGTACTTTGTTGTGTGTATGGAACAGTTTGTTATAAAATAATCAAAAGTGTTTTACATTACTTTACAAGCATGCGTTAGCAGTAACATGGATTTTATTGCTGTTTTTTTCCCCCCTGAGTCAAGATGTTGACTGTCACTCTCTTTTATAATAATTCATAACTGGTAAATGATAACATGAGTAGCATGATGTTTTGTTGTTTCACTGTGTGAACAGGTACAGACCCGTCCCCTATGGCAACCACTCTTACATAGAAGTCTTGGATGAAAAGAAAGAACTTCCCTTGTACGGCTCAGGAGGCATCCGTTTCCTTTGGGATACAAAGTAAGTCTTTTTGTTTTAGTTCAAATCTAGTCTTTATGCTATATTGTTCTGCTTCGGTGGCGTTGGTAGCGACGGACTTGTAATCGTGAGACTCCGGGTTCTGGGAGTCGAGCCTCAGCTCGGTTGGACGTTGTGTCCTAGGCAAAGGCACTTTACACAAATTTCCCATTTGGCTTGGTCCTTTCGGAGATGGACGTTAAACTCAGAGGCCCGCCTCTTAAATTACCTAATAATGTTGATAGGGGCACTAAACTTGTACAATTTAATAACTTTTTTGTTCTGTTTCATATTTCTGCTTTTCCTTTAATCCCTTAAAAAAAAAGGTCAGGGTTTTCCACTTGCAGGTTGTTTGTCCAGCCAGTGTTGTGTTCCTCCCCCGTATCTTGTCCGTTTCCTTCAGTCCCAATACCTAGTGCACTGTGCTAGTCAAATTCGTTTGATTGAGTCGGGGCCTGCCAGATTTTCCTTCACATAGGAGACAAACGCTTTCATTTTGGCACAGTTAGACCAAATTCGACTGTGACCTTCAGAAACAAGTGTGTTTGTTTTTCAAGGGTATTAGTTGAATCAGTTGTATTGTGTGTCTGTAGACTAAGCTTCAAATAGTTTAGTTGACAATATATTTAAATGAAGTTCTTTTAATTCTTGTTTTCTTTTAGGTTTGACTCTGCCATGGTTGCCTTTTTAGAGTGCTTGCAGCAGGTAAGCTATCCCAATACGAATTTTTCATCGTGCATTTATTCAGTTTAATATCATTATATTATGCTTGGAGGCAGGGTTTAAAAAAAAATAAAAAAATATGGGTTTAAGAAAATTTTCTTTAATGCCATAGAACTTTAAGCTTACATTGTACCATTGAAAAGATTGTGTGAAATTGATCACGGCATACAGTCTGTTGGTGTAAGGAGTGTAGAAATCTCTGTGGACAGAGATTTGCTTGAGACATTGAATTTCATTTATAAATATTAAACTTTGTGATATGTGGGTCTATTACACAATAGTTATTTCATATAGTGTGTTGGAAGATTGATGAATATGGAAGGCCATAAATGCTTTCTTTTGTTAGTTATCTCAATCTGGTTCATACTAGCAGAATTTCATTCATTGTTCCCAATACCTGCTGTGCTCTTTCAGTTCCGAGATGAAGTTCAGAAAGAAGACTCAAGTTTCAACCTTCCTTACAAAATGAGCAAAGGGAAAATCTTCGAAGGAGAGAAGACCCAGTATTCCATCAAGTAAGTCTAGTTTAGTTGTCTCATACTGTTTTTTCATATTTGTTTTCAAAGGGAACAACCTGTGTCTCCGGTTAAGTTGTTAGGCGCTTCACATTCACACTCGAAAGACCTGAGTTCCATTTCTGTGTGGGGAAAATTTTTATTGATTACCTCTATCCCTTTTTTTCGCCCCCTCCTGCCCACCCAGCAGAAATGGGTACCTGACTTCGAGTTGGGGAAGTAAAGGCAGCATAGAAAGGAACCGGACACCCTACCTCAATATGCCGAAGGCCCAGGAAGTTGTTTCACTAACAAGGCAATCCCCAATGTCCGGATCGGATACGGGAACAACTTTACTTTTTTTTACCTCTGTCCCTCTCTATCCTTCTGCAGGGATATTTAATCCCTCTCAGTCCGGGTTGGCCCTCATAAGTGATCTAAATTGTATTGATGGTGTTAAACACCTGCATCAAAAAAAAAAAGAAAAAGAAGAAGGAACTGACACTTCGTGGGTGGTTGGAGGGTGGCACTAGTAGATACTGCTTGTTTACTTTCCCTCCATTGTTTCTGTATGTCTAGCTTGCTTTTTTCCCCCAGAACATTGTGTATGTTATTGGGTTGTTGTGTTTTCCTTTGCTCAAAACCTAAGCAAACGCTTTGTTCAATGGGCTGTTGACTACTGAGCACATCTGTTGGTCTGACCACCGACATAAATGGACAGAATGAGCATTTGAAGGTGACCATGTCCATCACATTGGTAGAGATGTGTACACATGGCAGGTTTTGTTAGTCGATGGTGTTTTGAAATCGTGAAAACCATTCGCCTCCACCCTACAGTACAGAAATGATATGAGCACCAAGAATGTCACCTTTCTATTATGCTCACCAATATAAGGAATAATGGCTTTCAGAAAGCATTTTCTGAATTAAATTGACTGTCATACAACATTTATTGGTAATTTTTTTATCTGACAATCCTGATTGCCTTGGGAAATGGTTCAACACTGTTAACTGTATAAAAAGATGAGAACAGAGTTTCAATTTATGTTTCGAAAATAAGATTCCTTTGATTGTTTTATCAGAGTCTATGTGTAGTACAATAAGTTCCTTCTTTTTTTAGTTTGGTGGGTGGCTGACAGATGCTCTGGTGTGATTTCTGATCAACCATTTATTGTCCTTATTTCTACTCTTTCTTTTTTTGTATGTTACTCTCTAGTGACACCTCCAATCTAAGGCATTTGTATGACCTAATTGAGTTGCAAGTGCTGCAAAACTCTTACTAAAATTTTAAAAACTTAATTCTAACCTTGAAGGAAATGATGAGGCATAAAGAGGACCAAGTTATTCAATATTTCAAACATTCTTTTGCTTCCTATACATTCTCACCACCAACATTCTCTAACCACATTTCTGCGTATGTTCCGCAGAATGCAGTTCAATTCGGAGGAACAGTGGACCAAAGCTCTCAAGTACATGCTAACCAACCTCAAGTGGGCTTTGGCTTGGCTGTCTGCCCGCAGGAGTCTGGGAGAATGACCATGCAGTCTTGAAAGCAAACTAGTAGAGAGCGACTGAAATTAACTTTAAAAAAATAATTTTTAAGTTACAATTCTACACAGGAATACAATACAACTAATTTCTGTAATTACCAAATACTGTGAATGCCTAAACTTTTTCATTAAAAAACCCAACTTTTAAAAGTAATTGCTCTGTTCAGGAAACAAACTTGTTTAAAAATTGTGGCCTGCAGAGAAAGCTGAATAAATGGTGTTGGATAGAAACTGAACTGTTGGTTGAATATGGTTGAGCATTTCCCATCATTGTCTGTCTATTGCATGAAAAACTGACTTAATTGTACAATGAAAATGTGCTTAGTAAATGAAAAAAAAAAATTGGCTTGTGATCAGCTATTTTGCAAGACAGGCAGTTGATACGAATCTTGACTGATGCTTTAACGAAATGGTGACATTGATAATGATGATTGCATTCGTGTTATAGTGTGCACTGAATGGTCATTGGTAAATGCTCTACAATTTCCTAGCAAACCTGATGCGACAATGTGGATTTTTCAGGTTCTGTATAAGCAAGATGAATGATATGCTGAGTACTTCTTTCTATTGTTTCATGCATAAATATATTCCTCTGTGTGTGTGTGCTTGCTTGTGTATGTGTGTATGTGAGAGAGAGAGAGATAGTGTGTAATGGTGTGTGTGTGAATGTGTGTGTGTGTGTGTGTGTGTGTGTGTGTGCATGCGAGAGAGGGAGAGAGAGAGAGAGAGGGAGAGAATTTTATGTGTGTCTCAGATTACCAAGTCTTTCAAATTGCTATGTCAAGCATTTGCATAAAAGCCAACCCCTCTAATAACATGTAATTGCTTGTGTTAGAAAAAATATATTCAAACATGCTCATAGTCATAGTTTGTCCTCTCTTCTGTATTGTCCTGATATTCCTACATCCATTGGCTTTCTTTTTTTAAACTTTACCTCATCATCACTGTATGCATCCAAGTGTAACCCCCCCCCCCAAGTGCTCATTCTCTCTTACTTGCCCTTACAGTCTATACTATTTTGTTTCACCTGTCTTCAAAATTCTAATTTTTGTCAGTATGTTTGTACATGCATACATGTAGATGCTCACTTACCATTCCAATTTCTGGCAGTAGTAATCCAACCATGGTTATTGCAAGAATATTTGGCAGGTACTTTTGGTATTGGTATTACTGTTGTTTATTAATTAGCTGTTTTCTTTTTTGTGTGCGTGTCACAGAGCTGGGTATACAAAAGTCTTGAGAGAAAAAAATTCATATTTGCTTATTCCCATCTAGATCTAAATCTCTTTCTGTTTGTGCTACAGTAGTCTCTGCCTAAGATCCCACCTCTTACGATCCCGGTTCGCTTAAGATTCCCGCTGTTTTAACAAAACAGAATTTTTACTATACAAAAGTCACCCTTAAGATCCCGCTCTGATTCACTCTGAAGGTCTACATTCGGCTAAGATCCCGCATTTCTGATCATAATTTGCGGAATAAAAACCCGGGTGGGCACAGCCGATCAAACAACAGTGAAAAGTTGAGATCAATAAACTGTCCGTCGCGTCAAAGATCAGCCACTATCGTGAATGTGATCACATACACGTTGTAAAACAGGATGAAGCGATACAATGTTTGCCCCCGACGGGATCACATCGGGGTGTGAACTGACCGACGCGTTTGTTTTCCCCACGCTGGGTGGATAGGGCCTACACGTTCGTTCCAGGCGGGATCACATCGAACCGTGATCTCTTCCATGACCATTGGAGTAGACGTTGATTGCAGCAGTTGTCTCTACACCTGAATTTGCTAGACAGACTGAATTTTAATTGGTGTGTTCACGACATAATGGTGTGTAACGACACAGGCATTTTGGGAGGAGGGGGGGACTCGGTAAGAGATTGAAAGCTATAAGTTTTCGACAGGTAAAGGTGAGGGGCAACTGAATAAACGTAGATCTTGAGACTCATGATTGGATAATAAGTGAAAATGGCACGCCTTATGGCACTATGCCCTGTGATAGGCCATCAAGGTTAACCACTCTTTGCTCGCCATATATATGTCATAAACCCACCAAGGGGTCACATCAGTTCATTTTAGGGTGGAGGGAGACCATTTTACAGATTGTAAGTAATGTAAGCCTTAACATGGGTCCCCATAGATTCTTCCCTGGGATCGTCGGTTAAGATCGCGGTTCGCCTAAGATCCCGCATTTCCTTGCTCCCGAGCACCGGGATCTTAGGCAGAGACTACTGTATTTGATTTCAAAATTTTTCAGAATGTGGGTGCCTGAAAAGATATTTTAAATTTTTTGGCTGTGTTAACTCAAGCATTTCAGAGTATACCTTCAGTGTTATTATTAGTGTGGGTGAGCCTCTTTCATTTCTTTTCTTTTTGTTCTGGCTTTTCTAAAACAGGGTTCTTATTTTTTTTGTTACACAGTAGGTCTAGTGGTAGTATTATGAGGCTTTTTTTGTGTGTGTGGAAAAGCCATTTCTTTTTTATTAAGCAATTCGTTCAGTCACAACACCATCCATATATACCAGAGGGTGAGTTGCAATGTCTTTGGGTGAAGCAAGCTTACAAAGAGAATTCTTTCTCTTTTGTAAATATTTATGCAAAAGATTTTGACAAATAAACTTTATCAAGCTGTTCTGGTTGCCTGCTTTTTTTGTATTGCTCCTATGTACTTTGTGGTGTTCTGTCTCTGCGTCAACCTTTAGGCCAAAATAGTTTTTTGACTTTTCATTTCTTGACTTATTATGGATAGTAGCATTCTCCTTTGGTTAGAATTGGTGACGTACGGTAAGCCAGTTCACAAAACAAAATGTTCTTTTCATTTGTTTATTGGCTTTTTTGTCAAAGAAGTTAAATGAATTCAAGTGGGGGTGTTTTTGGGATGTACCTATGGGCTTTTGGCTATTTCACCTCTTGTCTAAGTTCTGTCTCTATGTGAATGCTTAATTGTGTATGATGTATGTATGTACTCCACTGTATTGTTAGGTTCTACTTTTCTTCTTTCCCTCTGTTGTTTCTACCCATCTGTCTTACTTTTCCTGTGCAATAAGTAACCTTTTTTGTGTTTTATGTGCTTTTCTTCTTCTCAAATCAACCATACAGTTACAATGCAGGTACCAAGTTCTACCAAGATTGTTTCTGGCACTGTATCGATTATTTCTAGAATGTCTTAATTCTGTGAACATATTTCATACAGTTGTATCCAACAAAACCAAACCGGATTAATCTGAAAACCAGGTAAACTGAAAGAAAATAGAAACCTGGATCGTTGCCAATCTTATTGACAGTACAAGAGAAGCTATTACGGGCCGACAGATGAACTGAGCAGAAAGACCCAATACATTTATGGCAGATACCTGACTTCAAGTGTGATGCGATCAAAAAGAAGAAACTTGGGTTTATTTCTTTGCTGTTTCAGTCTCTATAAACATGACTAAACTAAAGAAAATCTGCCTGTCCTGATTTCGGTGCAGACTTCATATTACATCTGTATCAATTATAATTACATGTACATATTTTATAGATAGTATCGTGTTTTCAAATTCCAAAAATAATTTTAAATGTTTAGTATTTTTAAAGTGAGTACCGTGCAGGCCTTGTGTGTCCGCCTCATCTTCTCTCCCCAGTAAAACATTTAGACTAGAGCCCCCCCCCC